GTGTCGAAGTGTCAGTGTTCAAGGGATTTTGAAGAACCCTTCGCAATGGGAAAAATGTGAAAACCTATTTAAAACCTATTTAAAACCTATATATAATATATATTTTAAAACAAAACGCATTTTTTTTTTCGGAACCGAAACCGACAACGCTTTCGTCTGAGCGCGCTGCTCCACAAAAACCTTGGCCTCGGACAGATGAACGGAACGTTTAAAGTTAGGCAAGAGCAATGGAATGTAATGGAAGACTCATGGAAGACAATCGTTTGTAGATTCGTTTTTAACAACGAAGGGGAGAGTAGGCTAGTGGAGGTGAGGTGGGTGGTAGCTAGGGAGTCGGTAGCAGGGAGAGGTAGCAAGTACCTTGCTAGTATGCTACTAGCGATGCAGGCCAGCGGGGGGGAGCTTCCTGAAGAAAAACTCCAATCATTTGGTTCCTAGTAGCGTTCTCTTGCTCCGTTCGTAGCGATGCCAGGAGCCCCCAGCGTCCTTGTTCCTAGATTTTTAAGGACACTTAACTTTAGAGAGGGTAGGTAGGAAGGAGCTGGTAGCTGACAACTAACGTAGCTAGCGTAGCTCGTAGTAAGCTACTAGCTCTGAAGTAGGCCGCTACGAGCTGGATGCAGGAAAGCGCTTGAGACCACTACTTATTTTGGAAGCTACTAGGTTAAGTTGGAAGCAATTCATGTTCGATTCGAGATCGGTTCAGCTTGATGAGACTTTCTCGGTTTGCGCCCTTTGGACGGTCATTTTGCATTTCTGTGACCGTGAACTAGAGACTTGGCAGCACCGTTTCGCCTTTCATTCTGTCGGCTACCGTACTCCGTGACTTTTCATCCGTTGCATTTTCAGGTTTTGTTTGTGAAATAGGTCACATTGTTGCACATTTGCACGAAGAACCGGAAGGAAAGGATCTCTCGTATGAGCGCGTCTCAGCTCCAGTCCGCTACCAGTGCAGTCCACCTGGCGAATGACACAGACAGTCTACAAACAACACAAACCGTCGCTATTAGGTTGGCCATTGCTAGTGTCAAATGTTTGACACACACATGTCGCACTAAACTCTGTTGCTTTATTTGTAACAAAACCTTTCAACAATTGCCGTCTATTTTTCGCCTCCCTCGTCTCATTTCTGACCGTCTGGACGCAGCCTCCTTTTCCTTTTTGCAATGTATCTAATAGCTTTTTGTTACTAGTAAGGCACTTGTTCCTAGTAGCTTATATATAAAGGGACAACAAGACTTCGGGTTTTGGAGTGGTATTTGTGCCTGTCCAATGATCACATTGGGCGTGTCGGTGAAGTGCTTGGCCATTTGATCCCACCTGGGAAACAAAACGTGTGCACATTTTCCCGGACACGTGACCGTCTTCTAACAAACCAACCCAAAGCTCCACACATTCCTTTTTGGAGCCGGCTGTTAGGTTGGAGGCCAAATCATAGTTAAGTTTCCCTAAAATTCTAGGAACGCGCGTGAACTATCCTGAACCGAGCGGCTCTGGCTGCAACTTTCTGCAATGGCCTAAAGGAATGAAAGACATGTGGAAACATATGAAAAACATATGAAAGCACGCGCATTAAAACAAGAAAATAACACATGACGACATAAAACCGCAAAAGTTCTCGTGAACACCGACGAAATGCTCCTACCGTGAGTTCTCGACTTCCTCATGCCTTTGAGGCTAAGCCCCCCGTGCCACACCAAGGTGCTTGGAAAAACACAAACGCCTTGGTGCTTGAAGCGAAGTATAGATGGAGAATGGAGAAGAATGCAAACGTCAAATGTTTGGAGAGTCTCCAGGCTTGGGGGAGAATTAGATTTTAACATGAGAAAAAGTGACAACGAAAGCTGAACACAAAAACATGCCTTTTGCACTGCGTTTTCGCACCAGTGCGTAGGAATTCCCAAACTTCTCTGTGCTTTCGGTTTTGTGTTCGGTGCATGTCTCTTCGCCTCTCACATCGTGGTCCGGGTGCGGTTCACTCGAAGGGCTTGGTGTCGCACGCGCAGCGACCATTTCGAATCTCGCTTCGCTCCGGAACTCAGAGTTCATCGCTACTAGTAACAAGTGCCACGCTACTAGTAATCGGTGCCACGCTACTAGTAACAGGTGCCTTACTAGTAGTAACAAGCTTATTAGCTGACTAGTAGTAACAAGTGACCAATTTAATTAGAATTGTAATTACAAGCAAATAAATCTACTAGGACCTTTTCGCGCGCGCGCGCCCGGGGGGGGGTAGGAACTCGGAGTTCAGTTTGCCAGAAGAACTGTTACTAGTAGTACGGCCAGGAGCCCCTAGTAGCGTCCTTGCTCCTAGTAGCGATGCCAGGAGTCCCTAGCGGCCTTGTTCCTAGTAGCTTCTTGTTACTAGGAACCAATTGATTAGTGCGAGCGCTTCTTCAAGGAAGCTCCCCGCCGCCCTCAGGCGGGGGAGCTTTGTTGAAGAAGCGTGAGCTGTAGCATACTAGTAGGGTACTAGCACTTGTTACTAATAGCAAACATTGTTACTAGTAAGGCACCTGTTACTACTAGCGTGGCACTTGTTCCTAGTCGGAAGCGTTAAAGCTCGAGTCGTGAGAGTCTGGGGCACTGGGGCGTACTTCGACGTGTCGGTCGTGTGTTTCATATGCCGCTTGCCTATCAATCGATGGTTCAAAACCGAATGGACTTAATGACTGGTCCTTTTTTCCTACGATGTTCAAGATTTTTGTCTGAGTTTGTGGCATTCTTCCCTTCCAAGGACTTCCGGAAGTTGTTATCCGTCAACTCCATTTTCAAAGCTTCACTTCCTCCCAAAACTGAAGGCAGAATCCTACCGCTGTGCGGCAAAAATGCGCTGAGGTGTGAAAAAAAGGGAAAAGACGGCAGCACTGGACATCCCTACAGAGAGATGCGAACAACGACATGACTCAAAGTGACCGGTCTGAACCGACACACCTTATTAGACCAAAATGAAAGCGATGCACTTGTTACTAATAGCAAACATTGTTTCTACTAGTAAGGCACTTTGTTACTACTAGCGTGGCACTTGTTACTACTAGCGTCTTTAAGTCCTAAAATTCTTAAAAAGGTAGCTACACTTTAAGTCCTTTTTCTTCGTCCTTTCACAAAATACACTTTACACTCCTCCGAAGAGAAAGAGAAGCAATGCCATGGTTCCTGAGTTCAGCCACTTTCAATCTTTCAACAAAACACATCTTTCGATGTTTTTCTCTTCCGACGCTGCGAAGACGTCACCTTTCGTTTTCCCTCTCCTGACAGTGACATTTTGTTTTCTCTACTTTCTCTCGAGCCAAAAGATCGAAACGAAGACGACGTATGTCACTTCGATTCAATTCCAAGACTGATAGCGACAAATATGAGAACAAAGCGAAGCAGCGAAGCTGAACAAAACCTGTTCTGCCCTTAGCAAATATGAACAAACATATTGGAAGCCATCGCTAGTAGGTTGGAGGCCATTGCTACTAGGTTACTGTTACTGTGCAGCTGCCAGTCGCGCCGTCCTGCTCTGGCCTTCTTGATGCTCATTGCTTCAGTTTAATTTCAGTTGCTTGGGGTTTCTCTTGGTTTCTTCGACTTCTAGCTTCAAATAGCTTCATCTTCTCATCTTCACCATTCTGCCGTCTCTCCGTCTCTTTTAACAGCCATGCGCTTCATCTTGCATTTTGGTGACAGGTGACAAGACACGAAGCAGCGGCAAGCACGGGTTGCCCCAGTTGCTGACCTTTTTTTATCCTCGGTAACAAGAAGCTACTAGTAGCAAGGACGCTATTAGGTGGAGGCCATCGCAAGCAGGTTGGAGGCCATCGCTACGTAACAAGACACTTCTAAAAACGCATTTCTGAATACGGGCGGACTGCCGTGACTGCCGTGCAAAGTCGTTCGGACTTTACCGAAACTTGTCAGCCGCCGGCAGAACCCTGCCTGCCGGCGCGAAAGCGGCCTCGCGTGGCCAGCGGGCCTCTCGTGGCCTCTGCCTGTCTCTACCATCAGTGTGAATTCGATTCTGACACTTGAGAATTTTGCCTTACTAGTGAAGCTACTAGGAACAAGTGCATCGCTAGTAACAAGTGCCTTACTAGTAACAAGGATAATTTTCGGCAGAGGAAGTGGTTTCGAATTCGCCCAGTCCTGTCCAGTGCCTGTTTCAAGTGTCCCACAACTTCAGACTTTCTCGCCACTAGCAGAGGCCATCACTAGTAGTAACAGGTGCCACGCTAGTAGTAACAAGTGCCTTACTA